ATGACTTTTCTCTGTGTATGAGCATATATTTTTGTTTCCTTGCATGTTTCATAATTTTTTTTGTTGTTGGAAACATTTTTTAAATAATATGACAAGTCTAAGATCTCTTGCCCCTTCAGGGTTTGTTGTTGTTGATTATGGTTGTTGTCATTTCTATGCTTAGAGGCTCTTCTGAACTAATTCAGTAAAGTCTGTATTCTTTGTTTTGGTGGCTACTTAATGTCTTTGTTCATTAGCTTAGAGGTAGCTAATGGGTAGACAGAGAGTCCCTTGAATACCTGGAATCAGTAAATCTCCCATTTTTAAAGAAGTTTTAGAAATGTTTTTATTTATCTTTGAGAGAGAGAGCAGGAAGGGTGCAGAGAGAGGGGAATACAGAGGATCCGAAGCGGGATCTGCACTGACAGTCAAGAGCCTGATGCGGGGCTTGAACCCATGAACTGTAAGATCATGATCTGAGCTGAAGTCAGATGCTCAACCCGCTGAGCCACCCAGGTGCCCTAAACCTCCCTGGTTTTCCAAGGGGCTCTGTCTGGGTGTTGACGTATCCCTTCAACATTCAACTGGGCAGTTGACAACTCTTTCTGAGGCTTGATATCCAGTTTGAGCAATGCCCCAAGATAAGCTGGATGTGCTGAGGGCTCTCTTGGGTCTTTTCCAAGCATGGAAGCCTTAGTAGCCTTAGTCGTGTACACAGCCTGTAGCATGCATATGGCCTTTTAGATTTTCAGGAATATGTTGGAGCTTTTCAACCCCCTCCCCCCGCCTTCAGATAATATAATTCCTGAATGTTTCCTTTTAAACTTTCTGATGAGCTTAGTGTTTGTCTCAATTCTTTGCCCACCTCATGCAGTTGCGATATTAAACAATTGCCTATGGTTATTTTCAACCAGTGCCCCGTAGGAAAGGCAGTTCATACAGGCTGAACTGGGAAGCCGGTCAAGTAAAGATAGCCTTGAGAGCACAGTCTTCCAGGCAATCACCAGGCATTCTCTGAGAACGAGGCTTTAAAGGTCTTTTAAGGGACTTTATACTCCTTTCAGTGGCGGCCAGGCTACTGGGTGGCACCATGACAGCAGGCTGTTGATTTTTAAGGCTACTGCAGAGCTGAGAAGGAAATGAGAATAAAGCAAGATAGAATGTTATAAAGCTCGGGTTTGTTTCTTTTTAACTGAGATTGGGCTGTTTATTTTTTTAAAAATATTTATTTACTTTTTGGGAGACAGAGAGACAGAGCGCAAGCAAGGGAGGGGCAGAGAAAGAGGGAGACAGAGAATCTGAAGCAGACTCCAGGCTCTGAGCCGTCAGCACAGAGCTCGACCCGGGGCTCGAACCCATGAAGTGCAAGATCATGACCTGAGCCAAAGTTGGACGCTCAACCGACTGAGCCACTCAGGCACCCCGGGCTGTTTATTTTTGAACAAACACCCCCCGGATTGCTGCAAGATTTTAGCTATTTCCCAGAGTTCTGAAATAGTTAATTCTGACCATTTTTTCAGTGTTCACCTTGCTTTAACAGAGGAGAGGATTTTCAATGCTCCTTCCTCTGCCTTACTTCTGGATATTTGGTGTTTGACTCTTGATCAGTTTATGATGTGCTGACTCAGGTCTGAAATTCTCCCTGGAGACCCCTAGGGTTACTTTTTTTTACTGAGAGTTTGCAGCTGGATTTTTGGGTCTGACAAACCTGGCTTGCTTATTTAAAGGGGTTCTCTTAAGAGTTTCTTCTTTGTGCTTTCTGTAAACAAGATTCCTCTCACAGACCTTGGTGGATTGAACTGGGGACACAACGCCATGTATGCAAATATGGGCCGTTGGGGAGCTGGCACTGGTGATGTCTCTCTGTCCTCCTGTACTTGCCTGTAATCTCTCTCGCTGTACCATATCCTTTGCCTTTAATTTTTTTGTTTTAACATTTATTCATTTTTAAGAGTGAGAGAGACAGAGCAGGTGGGGGAGGGACAGAGAGAGAGGGAGACACAGAATCCAAAGCAGGCTCCAGGCTCTGAGCTGTCAGCCCAGAGCCCAACTCAGGGTTTGAATCCGCAGACCGGGAAGTCATAACCTGAGCTGAAGTCAAATGCTGAACCCCCTGAGCCACCCAGGTGCCCCTCTTTTGCTTTTAAACACAAGCCTATGTGAAGATAGTCTGTGGAGTCTGGTGAATCCTTCCAAATAACCAAACTAGGAAAATCTTTGCAGTGGTATAGCCATACAACGCAGCTGTAGAAAAGAATGTGAAAGATATCTGTGGAGTGATATGGAAAGATAGCCAGAATATACTGTTAAATGAAAATGCAAGATGCAGAGTGCATTTTACTATACTATTTCTTATGTAAGAAAGGGGAGAAATACACGAGTAGGCAATTGTACTTACTTGATTTGCGTAAGGAAACCCAGTAAAGATACACAAAAAACCACGAAAAGTTATTAACTGTGGAAGTAGTGGAAACAAGTATCTCAACATATACATCAATACTGTTTTGATTGTTGAGTCCTATGAATATATTACCCATTCAAAAAAAATCAAATTTTCCAAGTAAATGAAGAAAAAAGAAAAGAAAAATTAAGTCATATGGCCCCAGGGGAATAATAAAATATCAGAGAAGTTCATGATAAGTACCAAAATATAAAGATGGAAGAATAGGGGCACCTGGGTGGCTCAGTCGGTTGAGCATCCGACTTCAGCTCAGGTCGTGATCTCACAGTTGGTGAGTTTGAGCCCCACGCCGGGCTCTGTGCTGACAGCCAGCTCAGAGCCTGGAGCCTGTTTCAGATTCTGTAACTCCCTCTTCTCTCTGACCCTCCCCTGCTCACGCTGTCTCTCTCTCTCAGAAATAAAAAAAAAAAAAAAAGAGTTGAACTCTTGGTTTCAGCTCAGGTCATGATCTTGCAGTTCGTGAGTTTGAGCCCTGCGACAGGCTGACAGCATAGAGCCTGCCTGGGATTCTCTCTCCTTCTCTCCCTGTCCCTCTCCAGTGTGCGTGCTCTCTCTCTCAACAAATAAACTTTAAAGATTTTTAAAAATGAAGAATAATAGACATGTCAAAGCTTAAGCATAAACAAAAGTAAATAGGTATAAAGATACAAAGGAGAAGTCCCACTGGGTAGTATAGAAAAGCCTTGGGTTATTGCTTTAGTTCAGAATCTCTGAACAGCAGCAATGAAGACGTTTTGGACAAGGTTTTTTTTTTTTTTTTTTTTTGCTGTAGAGGGCTGTCCTGTGCACTGCAGGATGTTTAGCAGTGTCCCTGACCTCTACCCACTACATGCCAATAGAACTCACCCCCCCAACCCTCAGGCAACCCTTCAAAGTTGTGACAATCAAAAGTCTCTAAAAATTGTCAAATGTCCAGGGGAGAGTCAGCAAAAGCACCTGCAGTTGAGAATCACTGCTTTAGCTGGTCTGAATAGGAAGAGGGTTTTCTGAGCATCTCATTAAGATTTTTTTTTTCAGGGGTACCTTAGTGGTTCAGTCTGTTAAGCATCTGACTATTGATCTCAGCTCAGGTCTTATCTCAGGGTGGTGAACTCAAGCTCTGCCTTGGGGCTCAGTGCTGGTCATGAAGCCTACTTAAAAAAAAAAAAAAGAATTTTGTTAAAATTTTAGTGAATGTATTCCTGGCAAATGATCTATTTCCCAGAACTATTCTTTCCCTGAAGTGTCAGGAATTTCATGCATTAATACTCTACAGGTTTTTAAGTTACTGACATAAGCCTGACTCAGCTAGTGTGTTATTTAGCAACTTTTGAGTGACATGAATGATTTCAATGAGATGTTTAAAGTACTGAAACATTTGGTGTCGTTTTATTACTTTGAATCTTTTTTGTGTGGTGGCCAATTTCTGTTTGTTTAATGATATTAGACAAACGGAATGAAACACTTGTGTCTGCTGATACACTTTTCAGTGGTGGTTTTTAAATATAAAACTGAGAGGAGGAACACCTGTAATACAGATTTGAAGTAACTCTGTCACGGACTCCTTTTCTTTCTTTCTTTCTTTTCTTTTTTCTTTTTCTTTTTCTTTTTTTTTTTTTTTTTTTTTTACAAATAGTTTATTGTCAAATTAGTTTCCGCCTTTTCTTTCTTTCACTTTTCCTTGGGAACCTGGAATCCTTCAAGAAATTGTCCAGTGGGTGGTAAGGACAATTATTAGCCCTACATCTGGGACGTCCCTCTAGGTCAGTAGCGCCCAGTTCTGACGCAAGGAGCTTTCTCTCCCCTCAGCTCTACTCTTCTGGGAGTGATGCAGGTGGCCACCATTATTTTTAAATACCATTGCTTCATTCCTGAAGAAAGCAGGTCAAAGCTGTAATCGGCAGACCAGTTTACCGATCACAGCACAACCATCTGTGTGAGCTTGGTGTCGAAGTCTCCTTCTTCCTCCCTGTCCCGTTCCGGAAGTTTATTTTTTAATGTGATTAATTTCTCTGGGAGGAGCAGGGAAGATCGCCTTTCCCAGGAGAATCACCTTGCTTTACCCCATCTCTGAACTCAAGTGGAAGGGTTCCCTCCTTGGATGGGACCTAGCAGGAGAGCGAAGACCGTTTTCTGGCTGAGATGGGAAGATTCTCTGCGTCTGAACGTCTGAAGAAGGGATACGCTCAAGTAAGTCTTCGCCAGCAAGAGAACCTTTAACTACTCTCTCGCCTTCCCCAGTGACTCCGGAGTACGCGCAACCCCTTTCCCAAAGCACGCAAGTGCGTGCTTGCAGACTCGGAGCTCCGCTCCCAGGCCGGGAACTCTCCCTGCAGCACCGCCTAAATAGCAAACAGATGCCCGGCGAGCCAAAGATCTCACCGACGGGGGCAGCGCCTGGGGACACGGGTGCCTCCCCGGCGGTTTCCGAGTGGACCGGCTGGCCGCACTACTATGGCTTGAAACGGATGGGTTTTGAAAGCAGAACATCCCCTTCCCCGGGAACTACCCATCTCCACCCTGCAGCCCCAGAGGAACTCCCCTTTCCTTTCGGCCCCTCCTCCAGCCCCACTTCCCCGGCTCGGAAAGGCTCGGGGACTCCGGACCTAGTTTCCATCTTCGCACTCTGCCTGGGCTGCGTGCGTCCCGAGCTAATTCAGGAGTCGAATTTAGAGCCAACGGTTTAGCTCCGGGAGTTAGTTCTGCGGGCGTGGATGTCCTTCACAGGGTCATGTCAGGGTGCGTCTCCAAAAGTCCAGATCCTTCAGCCCCTTACCCCACCCCCTAGCCTTCGCTTGCCCAGCTGATGGCCAGCAGGTGTGCGGTCCGTAGACCACCCGGCAGTCAGAGGGCGAAGTGGGCCCTGCACTTGTCTCTGTTCCGGCAACACCTGACACCGCACTGGGGCGCATCCAACAAACCCCATGAATCCGAACATCCTCGTCGGAAGTGTCCCAAGTTCGAGTGTGGTCCGACCGTCCCTTCCCGCGTCGACCCTGGAAGCCTCTTGTACTAGGTCTTTCCCTGTGGACCCAAAGGGGCGCGCGCTGCGGTGCGCGGGATCCGCCTCTTCCCCAGGCTCCGGCGGGGCGGGGGTGGGTAGGCAGGGACCTGGATCTGATTACTGGGAGTGGGAAGCCGTGGTCCCAACCGTTCGCTCTGGTCTCCCCAGCTCCTCGAGGAGGAGGAGGGACGGTGCAGAGAAGAAGGACGCGGGGGTGCCATCACTGAGCACCCGGGCCGCGACCTGAGCCGCCGCGGTCTCCCGGCTGTCGCCTGGCCCTCGCCCCGCGCCCAGCCATGGGGCCCCCTTCCAGCTCTGGCTTCTACGTGAGCCGCGCGGTAGCCCTGCTGCTGGCCGCGCTGGCCGCCGCGCTCCTCCTGGCGCTGGCTGTGCTCGCCGCCCTGTACGGGCGCTGCGCGCGCGTCCCGCCGTCCCAGCTCCCTCCCCGCGGGGCCCCGGACGCCGCGCCGTCCCCGCGGGGCCCGCTGCCCACCTGGCAGCCCCGCCCCACTCGTGAACCGGCGGTGACCGCCACCCCGGGCAAATGGCGACCCCCGGGCCCCTGGGACCAGCTGCGCCTGCCGCCCTGGCTCGTGCCGCTGCATTATGAGCTGGAGCTGTGGCCCCGGCTGCGCCCGAACGAGTTCTCGTCTCCGACGTTGAGCTTCACCGGCCGCGTGAACATCACCGTGCGCTGCACCGTGGCCACAGCGCGGCTCCTACTGCACAGCGTCTTCCTGGACTGTGAGAGCGCCGAGGTGCGGGGTCCTCTGTCCTCCGGCCCCCGAGACGGCACGGTGGGCCGCGTGCCCGTGGACGACGTGTGGTTCGCCTCCGACATGCAGTATGTGGTGCTGGAGCTCGGCGGGACCCTGCAGCCCGGGAGCCGGTATGAGCTGCAGCTCCGCTTCTCGGGCCTGGCATACCAGGACCTCCGGGAGGGGCTCTTCTTCAGCGTCTACACGGACCAGGGTCAGCGCAGGTAAGGACAGGCCGGCCCAGCTCCCGCGACGCGCGCTCTCGCCGGGAGTCCCGCTGCCTCCCCGCGTCCCAGTGCGCGCCCCCTGCGCTTCCCCCCAAACCCCCGCGGCTCGCGACGCTTTTTTTGTGGAGACCAAAGGAGAGCGTCTCCTCCTCCCCTTCCCTCCAGAGACCCTGCTAGTAATAAAGCCTAGCTACCGGGCCCTAGCTCTGGTCAATTTTCATCATCCCTGCCCATCCAGTTTGTTTCTGTCCTTGCCCTTCTACGGTCGATACTATCCCAGAAGTTTATCGTAGTCGTCAGAAAGCCCCGCTTTGGCTCGAACCCACGAACGCTTGCTTAGCCACAGGGAGCAAATCCCTTGCTACTCAAAGTTGGGTCCGCGGACCGGCAGTCACTGTAACACCTGGGAGTCTGCTTGAAATGCAGATTCCCCACCCTCGATCAAAGGGATCAGAACCTGCGTTTTAAGGAGACCACCAGGTGATTTCTGGGGGTTAGAGATGGAGAGGCCTGGGGCGGCCCCACCCCTGCTCTCCTTGCTCAGCTCCCAGCTCTGCCTTCATTCTGGACGCTCTAGGTAGCTGCTGCTCTTGCAACAAGTAGGCTGACGTCGGTGCTGTTCTCATTTTTTACCCCCTTTTTGCCGAGGTTCTCCCATATTTAAGAATCCCCTTTAATTCATCCTCTCCCACCCCCTGCCCGCGGACTGCGTCTTCTTTTGTGGGTGAGCAGCAGCCCTTTCGACCCCTCCCAAGCTTTTAAGAAGTCTCTCTGGACGCCTTCGCTGGGAAAAAAATACTAAAAGCGGTGACAAGAGGCCTCCCCTCTGAGCTTGCAAGCTCACGTGGCGTACATGTGTTCTCTTTACACTCATTTGGGATAATGTCTTCCACGCGGAATGTTTCCAGCGCAAGAATTGCTTCTTTCCACGCTCTGAGATCTCGCTCCTGACCTCAGGCGAGCGCCGGGGAAGTCGTTTATGCGGAAGACACCGAAAAGGCTTTCTTCACACTGGCCATCTTCTTCCCTCACGCACTGGTGGGGCATTTGCGGTTTACACAACTGCATGTACTTTGCCTTTTATTATTAGAGAAAATGTTCTCAGATGTTCTCTGGGGAAGAGGAGCCTACTAAATTACCACCTAAATCATCGTCTGCACTATTCTCAAAACGTCAGGGGTCTTAAAATAAATGTAATAAGCTGCCTGAAGCGGATGTTGTAATCAGTTAAGTTTTCTTTTTAAGAACTGTATGCTTGGTTTTTTTTTTTTTCTTTCAAAAATGCACCAGTGCTTGAAGAAAGAGTTTTGAAAACTTTCTCATTGGGATGATGTGTTATGGGACTTCAGGACACAAACAAGAAACCTGGGGCACCTAGGTGGCTCAGTTCGTTAAGTGGTCAACTTCGGTTCAGGTCCTGATCTCACAGTTTATGGGTTCGAGCCGCATGTCAGGCTCTTTGCTGACAGCTTAGAGCCTGGAGCCTACTTTGGGTTCTGTGTGTGTGTGTGTGTGTGTGTGTGTGTGTGTGTGTGTGTCTGCCCATCCCCCACTCAGTCTCTGTCTCTCTCAAAAATAAACATTAAAAAAAAAGGCCACCAGAAACCTTTTTAAGTGACTGTGTGCAGTTCAGAGTGCAAGATTTTTCAGAGAAAAAACACAGGGACCACTGCACATACATCTGACAGTATTTTCTGCTGTTTCAGCAAGTAAATCTTTGTCTGCTAACCTATCTCTTCCTTCTTTCTCATGAAGCCGTGGCCTGGATGAACGGTCCTAGAAAGTATGGGAAATGAAAGGCCCTTTCCATTTTTCTATCGTGTGGCCAACTCAAGTGGTAACTAGAAACCATATTTTGAGAACATTAAAATTGAAACGGGGCATGTGGGTGGCTCAGTCCGTTGAGTGACTTCAGCTCAGGTCATGATCTCACGGGTTGTGAGTTTGGTCTTTGCATCGGGCTGGGTGCTGACGACAGCTCAGAGCCTGGAGCCTGCTTCAGATTCTGTGTCTCCCTCTTTGCCCCTCCCTAACTTGCTCTCTCTCAAAAATAAACACTAAAAATATTTTAAAAGAACTCAAACAAGCACAAATCCTAATCAAGTCCCACAGATGGTCGTAGAGCGATGTAGAGTTCCAGAATTGTGGCATCTTCCAGGAGCTGTTGCTAGGGAGGTGTTCTCCTGGGTCTCTGCTTTGCAAACCGCAAGGGAAAGAAACGTCCAGTGGAGCAGGAGGCCAAGGCTGCAGATAACTTGGACAAAATGATGACTTGTGGTGAAGCCGATTTTGGAAGCCCGGCAGGCCCGCGTCTGAGCTCTGTGACTTGAGACAGTCTCTTCACGTCTCTGAGTTGATTGCTTCATTCACGGAATTGACCTGAGTGTCAGCTTGTAGGGCATTGCAAGAATTAACGATAGAGAGGTCAGTAGCTGCTGCACGATCCTGCAGTGGCAGCTACCGTCCTTAGCTCGGGGTGTAACTGTTAGGGGCAGCTTCGTCACCTGAGCGAGGAACCTGCCATGTTCCCAAAGAAGAGGATCCCCACCTGGGAGAGATGCTGCCTAATCCCAGCTGAGGTCTCTAATCCCAGCTGCCAGCAGTTGCAACCTGTTAGCCTCTCTTCTTTGGTGACTCCTTATCACAGTCCGGATGGGCTGAAGCCTTTAAATAACTGTACCCACCACACTAAGGCAAGAGAAAAAGAAAATCCTTCCAGAAAATATCAAGAGCGCTACTGTCTCACGCTTCTGAAGCTTGGATGATGATCTTCTAGCTTCACAAGGTGCTGATGATGTTTCTCTGCCTTTCCCCACTTCGCAGGTGCCATCACATATCTGGCATATAGGAGCCATCCCCCGGATGCCTGAGATGTGCGCTTCTGTGTGCCAGTGTCTGGTTCCCTCCTCTTTCCATGTGCGGAAAGCTGAGAGCAAACTCCAAGTGTTAATGTTCCTTAAAGCAGTATTTCCCAGCCTTTATTCTCTGGCATATCACTACCCAAGGTTTTGCCTATTCACATATCTCTGACCATATTTTTTGCTAAAAAAACAAAACAAAAACACTCAAGTTAAACAAAAATATTAAGTAGATTTATTACAAAGCACCTCTATATCATTACCGTAAGTCAGAAACCATTTGGAATTTATAGTCAGGGAACTGACTGATACAATGAAAAAACAATGTCATGGAGTTCTCCCTGCCTTTATTGTCTGCTGAAGAATCCTATGGCTCTGAATCTGCGGGCCGCTCTCTCTTTCTTAAAAAGGGAAATTGGAATTAGTTGTTCAAGAGAAAGAACACGAAACCAAGGTTTTCTTTTGCTCTTATCAGAATGATTCATAAAATTTGAAAAAGACCCACTTTCTCGTGTGTGAGTCAGGTCTCTATAATAGTGTGTGAGGGCTACCCAATACCTTGTCCATCTGTATTTGAGGAAACCCTGAATTAGGGTAGTGGTTCACACACTTTTAATGTATATTAGAGTCATCAGAGTCCTGGGGCATACCCTCAGAAATTCCAGATCAGTACACGCGGTTCTGAGCAACATTAGTCAAAATGGCCACCAGGTGGAAGCAACGTGTGCCCATCAGTGGATGAATGGATGAACAAAATGTGGTATATACATAAAAGGGAATATTATTCCACCTTAAAAAGGAGGGAGGTTCTGACATGCTGCAGCATAGATGAACGTTGAAGACATTGTATAAGTACCTAGAGTAGTTAAATTCAGAGACAAAGTAGAATGTTGGTTGCTAAGAGCTGGCAGCTGGGGGAGGTTGTTACATGGGAACGTTTTGGTCATTTCCAGTTTTTGCCTATTACGAAAAAAAAAAGCTTCCATGAGCAATTGTGTATAAGTTTTTGGATAAACACAAGTTTTCATTTTTCTGGACTCAGTACCCAGGAGTTGAGTTTAGTTTTTATGAAACTGCTAACTTGCTTCCCAAAGTGTACCACTTACCTTCCCACCAACAATGTATGAATGATAGTTTCTCTGTAGCTTAGCCGCCATTTGCTTTTCCTGCTCTTTTTTATTTTAGCTGTCATGATGAGTATATAGCTATATCTTGCTGTGGTTTTAATTTGCATTTTTCCAATGGCTCATGATGTTCAGCTGCTTCTCATGCTTACTTGGCATTTGTATATCACCTTTGGTGAAATGTCTCCTCGTGTTTTTTGCCCATTTTCTAACTGAGTTGCTTGTTTACTGTTGAGTTCTGATAGTTCTTTATACATTCTAGATCTGAGTCTGTTGTGAGATATCTGGTTTACGAATGGGTTCTCGTGGTCTGTAGTTTGTTTTTTCATCTTAATAAGGTCTCCCGGGGCCACCTGGCTGACTCAGTTAAAAAAGGATGTAGGGGAGCCTGTATGGCTCAGTCGGTTAAGTGTCCGACTTCGGCTCAGGTCATGACCTCACAGTTCGTGGGTTCGAGCCCCGCGTCAGGCTCTGTGCTGACAGCTAGCTCAGAGCCTGGAGCCTGCTTCAGATTCTGTGTCTCCCTCTCTCTCTGACCTTCTCCTGCTCATGCTGTCTCTCTCCTCAGAAATTAAAAAAAAAAAAAAAAAAAGGATGCAACTCTTTATTCTTTCTAAAAAAAATTTTTTTTTAGTGTTTTATTTATTTCTGAGAGAGACTGCGTGAGTAGGGGATGGGAGAGAGAGATGGAGACACAGAATCTGAAGCAGGCTCCAGGCTCCGAGCTAGTTGTCCGCACAGCGCCCAACACGGGGCTCGAACCCACAAACTGTGAGATCATGACCTGAGTCGAAGTCCGATGCTTAACCGACTGAGCCACCCAGGTGCCCCTGTTTGCTTATTTTTGAGAGAGAGAGCACTGGAGCAGAGGTGGGGCAGCGAGAGAGGAACAGAGGATCTGAAGCAGGCTCTGTGCTGACAGCAGATAGCCTGATGCAGGACCCAAGCTCATGAACTGTGAGATCATGACCTGGGCCCAAGTCAATCACTTAATCAACGGAGCCATCCAGGCGCC